CGTTAAGGAGGCGATTTGCTCATTATTTCTAAGGAGAAATAGAAACCAGCGGAAAGAAAAAGCATTATCACGCAGACAAACACATTAGACCATGAAGCGCAGGACTGTAAAGCAGAAGATGAGGCCCCGCGCAGACAGACCAGACGGTTATTATGTTGTGCTTGCTTACCGAAAAAAAAAAAAGTTTGAAATAACATTTACACAAATACTCCATGACTCAAACAATAACAGAGAGGGCATTTTTTCCCCTGGTTGAAAGGATCGTTATGTTCCCTTAAAGCACTGAATCGTCAATTTCAGAGACAATGAAAACAATAAAAATTTAAATATTACAATGATTAGCAAGAATGTGACACAAGGATTATGAACGACAAATGTTGACCTGACGTAATACCTCTGTGATAGTACGTGCATCTAAAGCGTATGCCTAAATTTCCCGAAGCGAACTCCCGAGGGATTAATAAAGTTCTATCTTTCTGCTATCTATCTCTATATCTATCTATCTATCTATCTGTCTGTCTATCTGTCTATCTGTCTATCTGTCTGTCTTTCTATCTGTCTGTCTGTCTGTCTGTCTATCTGTCTGTCTATCTATCAATCTATCTATCTATCCTATCTATCTATCTATCTACCTACCTACCTATCTATCTATCTATCGATCGATCTATCTATCTGTCTGTCTATCTATCAATCTATCTATCTATCCTATCTATCTATCTATCTACCTACCTACCTATCTATCTATCTATCGATCTATCGATCTATCGATCTATCGATCTATCTATCTATCCATCGATCGATCTATCTATCTGTCTGTCTATCTATCAATCTATCTATCTATCCTATCTATCTATCTATCTACCTACCTACCTATCTATCTATCTATCTATCGATCGATCTATCTATCTGTCTGTCTATCTGTCTATCTGTCTATCTGTCTGTCTTTCTATCTGTCTGTCTGTCTGTCTATCTGTCTGTCTGTCTGTCTATCTATCTAAAATACCAATTTAAAGACTACTAAAAAATGGTAGAAATTCAAATATAATTTAATATTTTTTTAAGGATGGAATTTGATGGAATTATTTTGATCAAGTTCCTTATTCCATTGTTTCCCAAACACTGGGTCGTGACCCTCCTGTGGGGTTTTTTTTTTGGGGGGGGGTGGGGGGCTTCTCACATCATGTTTCCCCGAAGTTTACGAATAATGTCTCGGGTCGCGAAGGTTTGTGACTTTTAAAATATGGTTCCCCAGAAAAGAAATTTGGGAAATACTGCCTTATTTGGCCCACAATGAGAAAATTCACAGTGTGAGTCTTTCCAATACACACATTGTGCTACAGGAGGTGCCACTAATTATGTGGTCCCTCTGGGGCTCCACCACACTATGGAACCATAATGCTATAAAACTGCATTTAAAAGCATTTTTCCTAATTAATGACTCTGGCCCCAAAAGTGACTCAAACACACCTAAAGTTTGTCTGTTGTGTGTTTTCATTCAGCGTGATGGGAAACAGACATCTTGTCTATTTCGGCAGAATTCTTTTGTCTTCAAAGCTTCTCAACGGCAGTTTGGATAAGAGCACAGTCATCTGCATATTGTGTAACCAAGAGTTTTCTCATCATCTCAGTATCTCAAGCCTACTGTATCAATGCAAAAGGTGTTACTGCTGGCACAGACGCTAGAGCTAAAATTAGCAACAAAAGGTGTAGCCAACTCTACATTAGCCTGGGAACTGGGTATTAAGTCCAAGAATCCCCACAATGTTAAATGTAAAAGATGTAATTGCACATTTTTTGATCACCCGAACTACTGCTATAATATAGTTGTTGTATATAATTCAACGATGAAGAATCAAAAATTAAACCCCCAGGATTCTCTCCCACGTGGTATCCCATGTCATTCTTGCACATTCAGCTCTTTGTGCCACATTTCTATATGCTGTGATAATGACACATTGAGCCGCATCTCATTAAGATAAATGGGGAAAGAAATGTCTGTCAGGGTCAGAGGGTAATCTCTGCTTATTGTATCCTGGCCACAGTGTCAGGCAATTAAGCAAGAGAAAATGAAGACCTGGGGACCAGGTTTGGTGACAGAGTGAATGATGTGCAGAATGGAAGGAAGAATAAGTAAGAAGGGTTTGTTAAAAAAAAAAATCGCGGCATTAGCTGCATGGTTGATGCCAGTCATTGAATGAGGAATGTTTGTTATGACATAAGCCGTCTGGATTCCCAGTTCAGGCATTCCAGCTTCCCAACATGACAAAACACAGATGGCAACTGTATTAACATGACAGATGACTTGTAAACATATGAAACCAGTAGGAGAACCAATAAGGCCAGAACTAAAACATTCACTGTGACACTTGCCACCACGGCCCTTCAACCATTTCCAATCTCTTCTGGGATGTACTAGCGGCATCAGCATCAGCAGACCTGCTCTGGTCTGACGGAGCCGCAGCATTTCCAGGCACATACAGGCCATTGATTAGAGCATCCTGACTCACTGCCTGCAGTCTATGAGCGCTCGGGGACCGGTAATCAATTCCCTAATGCTGTTTGAGCCCATTCAGTGCAGCTATGATACACTCGTCACAATGCAGATGCACAAACACACACGCACAAATGCACGAGCACATACGGTTGACACGTGTTTTTCAGCTCAATTCACAAGGAAGCGCACACTGAATCCGACCCAGCTGACCGTCACAGAAGCAGAGGACCCCTTCCCCAAATATTAACTTACCAAGTGTAGCAAGCCATAGGCCACTGCCATCTTATGGTATTATCAAAATGACCGCAGCTCTCCCGGGACGCACTCTGGTTCCTGTTTAACTACCAGAATTGGACTCTGTTTGTGGCCAAATCTGATCAGCATAGCACCAGACCCAGGCATGGTCAGTCAGGAAGTCAGCCCCCCGGCACTTTATCTGTACCGACAGACCACTGGCTCTATCAACGATGTCCAGCCAGGAATTAATCTGATTTAGAAGTAGTGGAAAATTGCGATCCAGAAAAAAAACACTAATAGGAAAAGGTGGAGTCAAAACTTTCTGTTTGTGCTACTTCAGAGGAGGTGAATGTGGTGGTGGAGAAGCAGGACTGAAACGCTGGATTGGATTGGTTGTTTTTCGCCAACTGTCAACATTAATACATACAATACCTACAACCTTCTCTTCACTTTCTGGCATTCTGAATGTTGAGTTACTTCATTATTTATCTATCGAGTTATCTAAAACAGTAGATAAGAGAAAATAATAGAAGTCAAACAGGTCCAAGGTCAGGGTCAGGGGCCAGTAATGGTACCCATAAAGGTTTAATGAGGCCTTCAGCCCCCACCTTTTCTTTTCAAATTATTATTTTTCTTTTTTGTTTTATTTTTGGTTGTTATGATATAGTATTAAAAAATCAAATGTATGCTACAAACATTTTTTCAACTAAATAAAAACCAATACAGAATTTTTATTTACACTTACTTTGGTGTCTGCGCTTCCTCTAAACGATTTCCCAGCTGGAACTCGTGGGATTTGCTGCGGTGCAGTGCAGTGAATCCTGGCAGCAGATGAATTAGTTTGCGGCTGGGCGGAGGTGGCGTTCCTGGGGCTTTCACTTTGTTCCTTCGCCACATTGGTGGAGTGCCTGGAGGGGTCATGGTGTTGATCACCAAGGGAGTTCGAGGAGGCGTGTGGCCAAAATGCCTCTGACGGGGCGACGGGGGCAGGGAGCGATGACCAGTGTCCAAGGACAGCAAAAGTCCTGTGGTGGGACTGTCGACTGTCAATCGGTCAACGAACAAAGGGGGGGGCAGGGCCTGGGGCCTATGGCCCATGTGCTGGTTGTACTTGGACTGGACTTTGGGGCTTTGGGAGAGCTGGAAACGGATCCACTGGCTGGCCTCGGGCTGGCACACTGGAGTGTTTTCCTTGCCTGATTCTGAGGTGGGCCATTGGATGGACCAGTCCTGCTTTGTCTGGCTCCCTGTCAATTAAAAAAAATATTATTAACATCAACCTAACACTAGGTAGCACTGTTGAGTCCTCTTGAATTGATTCAACAAATTGATTAGTATCAAACAGTGGACCCCGCCCAGGGTTGACAGTAAACCAGCAACACTTCCAGTCAGTGTAGACCAGTGGTTCTTAACCTGGATTCGATCGAACCCCAGGGGTTCGGCAGAGGACACACACCCGACTCATATGATTCGTGATGACACGCCCCCCTGCTTGGCCATCACCGAAGGGTTCGGTGAATGCGCATATGAAACTAGTGGGGTTCAGTACCTCCAACAAGGTTAAGAACCACTGGTGTAGACGAATTTCAGGCCACAGTTGTCGGCACACTACACTTTACATGTTATCAAGCATGTCAGGCTAATTTTGGCACCATTACTGGTTTTACAATTTTCATTTTTTACGATTTTTTAGGAAGGGTAATTTTGACCAAATATACAGTCTATCTTATGATTCTACGATGACGATGTTTCTTTATACATATACACACTATTGTCTAAAAGTCTTAGGCAGGTGTACACATGTCCTATGTCCTAACGATCCAATCTTTTATATATAAAGTGAGAAATCAAAGCTAATTTTCAACAACCTTGACTTTTCCCAGCCATCTTGCGCTGTTGGAAGACATCACATTCATGGGTTTGTATAAATTTATACTAATTGTTAATAATGTTTTTCTAGTCTTGTCTTCGTAAGCTAACCCTGTCAAAAACCTGTGCCCAGTGGAACTTTGAATGGATTAAAAAAGTACAGTGTCTGGTTTTAACAACGATATAATATATGAACATGCCATGAAGATGGAGAGGGATGGTGCACTTTAACAGAAAACAGGACAAGGTTCCATGAGTCATAACACAAGCCCGGCTTCTGTGGATGCTCAAGTGTCTGCTAAATGAACAACCCAGGCAGAAAATATGAAGTGGGTTTTTTTTTTCTCAGATGACAATACTTTACCTCCATTATTGTGCAATTTATCCTCCTCAAGTTGTTCTTTGGAAAGAAAACAGAAAAAAAAGAACAATGTGTTTAGTGATGTGGCAGAGACACAGTGTCTTTCCATCTCCACTTATGCATAGCCGAAGGGCTGTTCAACAGGAAAAATACACAAAATTGATCCCGAGTGGATCAGCAGAAGCAGTTTTTCATGCAGAATTGAGTCTAGAAAAATGACCCCACAACAACTATTGACAGCCGGTTGGCCATGAATGTAAATCTCTGTCATCAACCTTTGCTTTTTGTGTCCCTATTTTTCCTCTCTCCGTGAGACACTGTCTCAAAGGAAGGATGAGCGCACAACACAAAAAAACTTCAAACACTATATCAGCACAAGAAAGATCAAATGGAAAAAGAAGAAAAAAAGAAAACAAAAAACGATTCCAAAAGATCCCAGAGGAAACAAAACACTTGATGTATACAGGCCCGCAGCCTTTCCTATTTGGTAATGTTGTGACGAGGCCACAAGGCGCGACAAAGACAGAGGCATAAATACACGAGAGGAGTACAGAGAGGGATTTAAAAGTTTGACTTAAGTTATTCTTCTGCGAAATAAAAACTCTGCTAACTCAAGGTTAAATTGGGTTTTCTGCAAAAAAAATAAAAAAATCAATTTTTTATTTTTGACCAAAATGAAAAATAATCTCAAAATTCAGAATACAGATAATTTAATAATGTGCTTCTCAAATTGTGGAGGGTGGTAGGAAACAGATGAAAACCAGCCACTAGGGTACACAAGCCAGGGCATCCGGTGTAAAACCTTTAGCCAAATCAAATATGCGTATCACAAAAACGATTTCCATACCAGATCGGTCGGGGCCCGGGTTAACAATGGCCGCCAACAGTGCTGTTGACCTACAGGGTACTGGTGGAAATTGGACTACTGTTGGTCAAAGACAAAGAAAAGGAGGGCGTGTGGAGACAAAAACGGACAAAGCCGAAAGAAAAGAAGAAGAAGAAAGTAGGGGACAGATTCATTGATAGTTGGGGTGCGTCAAACTGGAGGAAACTGTGTCTTTCTTCAATTCCTGCGAGTATATCAGCGTTGTCTTAACAGGTAAGTAAACTCAAACCGAAATATTTATATATTTTACTACATGTACATTTTGTGAGATTTTTTGATGGTGTACCGTCAGATGTTTTTGAGTCCAAGAGTTCTAGAGGTATGACTTATTCTCACAAGTGTGTCCAGCAGTTTCATTAAAGCACTTCAGGTATTTTAACTGCTATGAACAAAAAACAAAAAATGAAATATTTCTTTTAATTTGTTTTACTCTCTTACCCTTCAAGAAGCTTTTTAAGATGCAGAAATCAAGAGTGGGCCCCGGAGAGTGCTCAGGCACAAATGTGAAAAAATAACGAGGACGATGCTCAATCAAGGCTCCTTCATTAGCAGGGAATAAAACCACGGCAGAGCTACATCCATAAACGTGAAAAGTTTCGACTAATCGCGAATGAAGGACTGACACTAATCAATGGCCATCGGTGATTTGGTATCAGAGTCTGAGGAAACAGAAGTTTTTAGAAAATGCCAAACAAATACCTTTGTTTTAAATAATGAGTTCCTCTCAGGTGATTGCACTTCTGGCCCAAAGCAGCTGCACTTTGAATAATAATAATTAAATAAACCTGCTCTTGACAGTGTTTATTAAGATGAAATGAAAAGAAAATTCTCTGTAAGAGGAGCAGAGGGCTTGAATCACATCAGTCATCAATTCATCGGGCACACCAGTCTCCTAGCAACTGCTTCAGCAAAATAATAACAGAACTTACAATACTTAATTAAATTATTTTTAAATTACTTGAATAATCACACCTCAGTTAAGGTGAGTGTCAGGGAGGAAGATAACACTTTTAACTTTGGAGAGTTGTTTAAGAGTAAAGTTTTAGAAGAAGAGTTTTTCAAAGTGAAAAACTTTTTTTTTTTGCTTCAACCTAGATTTTTTTAAACCTAGACATACTGTACCATACTTTTTGCACATTTCCATTTCAGGTTCTTTCTAAGAGGGGATAAATTCTTTTTTAGCCGACCCATTGAGTTTTTGGGTCCGAAAAGCGAACATCGCACCCAGAAGACTTAGCCAATGGTATTTTATTGGTTTTTTTTTATTGCATTTCATCTATTCGTATGTTATTTCTGTTGTTTTGGTGCTGCTGGAGACTTAATATGCCAAAGCAAACTCCGGAGAGATTAATAAAGTTCTATCTATCTATCTATCTATCTGTCTGTCTGTCTGTCTGTCTATCTTTCTGTCTGTCTGTCTTTCTGTCTCTCTTTCTTTCTGTCTGTCTTCTATCTATCTATCTATCTATCTATCTATCTATCTATCTATCTATCTATCTATGGATATATCCATTGAGCTTTGGGTCAGAAAAGTAAAACCTCAATCCTGTCCATTCTATGACCTCTGCTTTTATACCTGGCTTTGTCACAGCTTCTGGTTCCTATGATCTGGATCATCCTTGGTAAACTGGGCTCAGTGGGGAGGTGTGCGACTCACAGTCCAACAACTCACACAGGAGAACCAATGGCGACCTAGGAATACCCCCAAACAACAAGTACTGATCAACCTTAGACAGATGGACCAACATAATTGAGGAGGAGATACAAGAAGTGGAGATCAACTTTCAGAACATGGGATATCTTGCCTGGGTGAAGCTTATTTTCCTTAACGTTTCACTTAAATTACCATGAACTTTCAAGTAGAAAAACAAAAGCTTGTCTTCTCCAAATTCTCTCTTCAACCAAAGCTAATTTACAAGATTTTCCTCCCATTTTGCTAGAATCACCAGAATAATCTGCCCCAAACCACACTACATACCTGAAGTGTCTGGGACCTGAGTGTTTTAAGCAAATTACAACAACATTAGGAGAGTAATCTTAACCCCCAGTGAGGCTTTGAGAGAGGAAGATAAGAGCCACATAATTGGACTAATTACCTGCGTATGTGTACCTTCTTTAGACCAAAATGGCAGGGAAATGCCAGTGAACAGAGGCTGCTCTTACAGCCACCATAAACAGGATTCACCAAAAGGTCAACGCCTGCGTTCAGTACATGCACGCAGCATCTTCTGTTTTAGAATTGATTTTTTATTTTGGACTTGCTTGAAGTACAACTAGTAAACAACAAAGTTAGCTTAACGTAAGAGCCAATTAGAATGCATTACAACAGGATACAGAACTGGGACTTCTTTGGTTGTTTTCTATATTAAGTTTTTATATTTTCTAAAGTTTAATATTTTCTATTAAACTGAATCTATCATTACCTCTAAGCTAGCAGCAGCTAGAAGTTTTTTATCATTTGCTGATGACAGCCTGACATGTAGAATTTGATTTTGGGGGGGTGACTAGGTGGGGTTCCCATAATCAAGTTAATTGACAGGGGATTGACACCAAACTCAACCTATTTTCCACACATTTGTCCATGTGAGGTAATAATGACAAGGTTGGCACTTTGAAAGCCTCTGATACAATGCCATCTATAGGCTGAAAGAAAAAGCACATTCAGCAGTGGTTTTTGTCTTTGGCTTTAAGCACCGCAGTTTCAATATAAATATCTATGAATGGTGACAGGCCAAATATTTGTGCTGTCTAAAAGAAAATCCGTAACATGTCAACCTGTTGGCTAGGGAACCTTCTAGAATCTTGTACGAAACCTTTGGCCCATACCTTTGTCTGTGACAAACTTTTCTGAGGTTTGTTGCAAAAATCAGTTTCTAAACTAATCAAAGTTTAGAGTCAAAGGTTTAATTCCAGCTGCATTCCAAGGTGTCCCCGGACCATACTTTTAACCACACTGTTTCATCAATCCTCAGGGCTTGAGAGTGTAGAGTGTGTGCGTTGTCCTAACGCTGCTTTCCTTAGTGTCAACATAAAAACCCAACCCAAATTATACCTGCTGATTATTCATGGTCAAAGCCACTAAAGCACACAGACAAAATCACTAAATAATGACTCAGCTCCCATAGGGGGCGCCAAAACATTTCAGGAAAATGGCTCTAAAAATTATTTAAAATTTGGATTTTTATGACATCAAATTTCACCATGTCATCGTCTAAAACATAACCAGTGTTTTATCAACTAAATGGTGACCAAGGCTACCTCAGTATTTTCTCTTATTTGAGCAGCAGTCTTTTTCCACGCCCCTCATCCTCCTCTTGCATCCATCATCATCTCATCTGTCAACGTGTGCCTCCTTTTCCCAAATATTTTTTCTTCTAATGTTCTTCTTGCATTTGCTTTCTCTTCTACTTAATCATTACTCTACAGTTCTTTGCCTCAGCCCTTCCTCCGCCGCCTCTTTTCATTTCTTTTTCTTGTTGATGGCATTTGAAGCCAATTAGGAGCTTGCACGCATGTGAAGCAGCCTCGGAGCCGCAGGCTGGGGACATTTCTTTACAGCTCGTGAAAAAAAATTGACCACAGAGGCGCCGTGGCGACCTGTTGTTCTCATCAAAGATCGACGCTATTAGTGGGGGTCAGAAAGCATAGCACCTGTTTACAACACGTTCTGTGTGGAAATGTAAAAAAGTGTGTTTAGAAGCATCTCTGTGTGGACTCTTCAGGAAGGGCAGTCTCTTTAGTGTGTGTGTGTGTGTGTGTGTGTGTGTGTGTGTGTATTATGACACAAAGAACTGACTGGCTGCCTCTGACTTGTATGACTCATCTTCATTGCAACTCGCGAACTGCAATCCCAAGAGCCTGCAGTAGGAAAAAAAAATCTATTAACTTGCATTAGTTTCCTTCCTCCAACTTTACCCCACATAGCGACGTGCATTTGTTAACGTTCTTTTTCAGGGCCGTGTGGAGGATTGTAATGTCCACGGCAGCACAATTGAGATTACAATTCCCATGAGTCATAAAGTTCAGCAGTGAATGGATGCAGACATCAATGGGAGTAACATAAGAATTTGTATGGTATGATTTAGAATCTGTAAGGAGTACGGTTCTATGTTCCCTCAGACCTTCAGAAAAGTCCACCTACTCCTAACCGTAC